TTACATCTGCCTTTCATGTATCTGCCCGCTTACCTGGAGGACGACGAAATTTTACAAAAGCTGGAGGGATGGGGGGGTAACTCCCATCTCCCAGATCTAACGGAAATTCTACCCGGGCACCCGCATAGAGGATGGAACGAGATTTGTGAGAGTACGGTTCCCAAAAGAGGTGGCTTCTCTGCCCTACAGCACGAGAATGGAGACGGAAGAGGTTCCTCAGTATTTCAGTGTGATACATAGCCAGCAGGTGAGAACCTGTAGGTTGTGTATAAGCCCTGAACACATGATGAAGGACTGTCCGGACTTCAAATGTTTTAAGTGTGAGGAAAGGGGCCACTTTGGGACTGTAATGCGGTGAGGTGCCCGGACTGCAGGCTCGTGCTGAACAAGTGTGAGTGCTGGTTCGGAGACCAACAACAGGAGGAAGAGCAGAAGAGCGGGCAGATGCATGAGGGAGACAGTGAAGAGGAGCAACGCAAGGACACGGGAGGAACACAAAGAGAGGATATCGCAAGCACGGACATTGAAGATGAAAGTGAAAGGATTGGATTAACACAGGACAATGAGAAAACAGGGTCACTGATGGAAATAACGGAGGCTTTACAAACTGAATTGGAAAAGACAGAGGAGCAGGAGCGGGTCAGCGAGGAAGGGAGAATGGACAAAGACAGTGAATACATCGATGACGGCAGCACTACGGGAATATCAAATAAAAGAAGAAGAAAAACGAAGGTAACACCAAAACAAATGTATTTTAGTCAACGTGCACGCTCCCAATGAAGAAAAAGAAAATGTACTTTAATGTTTTAGCAGATGTAATCGAAAAATGGGGGAAGGTGGTGAACGCAGGGGATTTTAACACTGTTTTTAGTAAAAATGGATATGGCAAACGGGATGGTTTTTAAATCGGATGGGGGGAGAAAAGATCTAAGGTCATTGATGTAAGAGAAAAATATGATTGATGTGTGGCGGGAAAGAAATGTCAAAAAAAAAGAAGGAATTTTCAAGAAGAAATTTTATGTGCCAAACCAGAATAGACGATTTTTTAAGTACCAGAATTCTTGAATGTTTTATTGATGGAATATTTTACAAACCTTAAGCGATCACAAAATGGTTTTAATGATGGTGGATTTTAAAAGAGAAACGAAGGGACCTAGAGTGTGGATTTTAAACACTGAGGTTTTAAAGAATGAAAGTTTAAAAAAAAAGATCTAAAATATATTAGATGAGAGGAAAAAAGACCAGATGTATATGGAAGACAAAAGGCAATGGAGGTAAAATGTAAAGTATGAGATTAAGAAATATTCAATAAACTACTGTAATTTGTTACAAAAGGTTAAAATAACTAAGGAGAAAGAAATAAGGAGAACTCTAAAGGAGGAGTTAAATAAAAATGAAGTAAATGTGCAAAAAGTAATCGAAATAGAAAATACGTTGGGAAAAATAGAAGAGGAGAAATGCAAGGGGGCAATGTTAAGAAGCAAAGCAAAATACGCGGTGGAAGGAGAAAAATGTAACGATTCTTTTTTAATCTTCAGAAAAGCAGGGGGAGAGCGGAAACAATTAAAAAACTTAAAAGTGGGGATGGACAGGTGGTTTCAGATACAGAGGGGATTTTAAAGGGGTCATATGATGCTTTTTTAAAGATCATTATTTTGTGTATTTGGTGTAACAGAATATGTTGACATGCTTTAATGTTCAAAAAACATTATTTTTAAAATACTGTACATTATTGTAGGTCCTCTATGCCCCGCCTCTCTCAAACGCTTCGTTTTCTACAAAGCCCCCTCC